CCTCCCGCAGCTCCCCCCCGGCCCCCCACACCTGCCCTCTTCATCCAGGGCGACCGCAAGCGGGCCGAGCTCAGCACCCAGGGTACGTCCCCCCAGCGCCCTCCAGTGTCCCCCAGACCCCTAACCCCATCATCTCCCTCTGCCCCCTAATCCCGTCACCTCCTGCAGCTTCCCCCGGCCCCCCACACCCGCCCTCTTCATCCAGGGCGACCGCAAGCGGGCGGAGCTCAGCGCCTAGGGTACGTCCCGCCGACCCCCAGCGCCGCCCAGCGCACCCCAGCCTCCTGCTGCTCCCTAACCCCGTTGCCTCCTGCCGCTCCCCACTGAGCTCCCCACACCTGCCCTCTTCATCCAGGGCGACCGCAAGCGGGCCGAGCTCAGCGCCAAGGGTACGTCCCCCTGACTCCCAGCGACCCCCAGACCCCTAACCCCGTCACCTCCCGCTGCCCCCTAACCCCATCACCTCCTGCTGCACCCCCGCACCCCCACGCTGCCGCCGAATTGAGCAGCCAGGGTACATCCCCCCCCAGCGCCCCGCAGCCTCCTAACCCCATCGCCTCCCGCTTCCCTCTAACCCCGTCACCTCCTGCTGCACCCCCAGCCCCCCACGCTGCCGCTGAGCTGAGTGCCCAGGATACGTACAGCCCCACAGTGCCCCCCACTGCCCCGAAATCTTGGTAATCAAGATTCCCCCCCCCCCCCATCCCCAATGGCACCTGCAGCTCTGTGCCCAAGCTGCAGCCCTGGTGCCCCCCACATCGAGCCCTGCCCCACTGCCCACCATGTCAGCCCCCCTGACTCTCCCCCCTCCCTCCGCCAGGCCTGCTGCCGGAGGAGACCGAGCCGGAGGAGCGTATTGTGGTGCCGAAGCGCGGCCGATCCACCAAAGTGCCCGTCTCCAGTGTCCTCATCTGAGAACCACACACACCCCCGGCGCTGGGGCCGGGCACCGCCGGCCATGCAGAGACTCTCGCTGCCCCCCACTGGCTGGGCTCAGGGCGGGCGGAACTGTGCCAGTTTGGGGGGCTGGTTTTTATGTGGGCGTGGAGCTCCCCGTGAAGGAAACGGGGTCAGGGACATGGATGGGGCACCCTGGGCTGGGACAAGCCAGGGACCCCCAACTGAACACCCCCAGGCCCCTGGCGCAGGGAAGGGCTTAGGGACTGAGGGGGGGCCCTTGGATTCCTTGGGGGGGTGGGCTGTGAGGCCCCCCAAGGTCATACAGGTCCCCATTGCATTGTGGGGGGCTGGGGTCCTGCCCCCGTCCAGCCACCATATTTTCACCCCATTAAACTCTTTGTTACGTCTCCTGCTGCTGGTCTCTGTCCCGGGGGGCAGGACTCCGGGCCGTGCTGCCGGGCCCGGCTCCCCCCTGGGAGGGCATTAGCCCCCCACTACGCCCCCCCTACCCTGGGTGTGAGCTCTGCTCCTTGGTGAGCCACTCGCCCCCTTGCACAAGAGCGTGAGCCCTCGTGCCCCTGTGGGGGAGGCCCTCCGAACCTCGCACACCTGCCGCTCGCTCAGCGCTACGACTTCCTGCCGGGAGCTCATTGCCCGCCGCAGCTTCCTGCCGGGGGGAGAGCGCGAGCAGCGCGGCGTGGGTGGCAGCGCCGGAGGAGCCAGCGCCGGACGCGCCACGGCCCAGGTAGGTGCCGGCCCCCCCGCCCGGCTGCAGCCACAGGAAGCCGGACGTGGCGTCTGTCCCCCGGGGCCGGCCAGATGCACGGACGCTCCCCTCCGCCCCCAGCTGCTAGCATCAGCCTGCCATCTGGGTGACCCTATTGTGCGCTGGATTCGGGGCTGGGGCCCTCTCGGGGGCCGGGCGAGGGCCCTGGACTGGGGGGTCTCCAGCCTGTCCTGTGGGTCTGAGCCAGACTCTGCTTGGCCCCCTGCCTGTGAAATCCCCCCGCCTCTCCTGCTGGGGAGTGGGAGTGGGGGGCCTCTCAGCTCCCCCAAATCTCCAGTGACTGGCCCAGACCCACGGCGCTATTCCCCGGACCCTGCGCGGCCACTCCCGGAGACGGGGGCTGTGGCCCCCCAGCCGGGGCTTGTGCCTGTGACCCCTGCAGGGACAGTGGTGGGGGCGAGGCTCAGTGGGGGCCTTGGGCGCTGTCCGGAGACGGGGCCTGGACCAGGCATCTCCCCTCTGGGGCCCGCTGGGGTTCGCAGATGAGGTTGCGAAGGGGCCAGTGGTGACCCTGGGGGGCTGCCCGGAGCAGGTGTTGCCGTGGGGCACGGTGGGGTTGGGCACCGGGGGGTAGCGTCTCCAGGGTGTGCCGCGCCCCCCGATACCATCTCGGCTTTTCCTGTTTTGCTGCCTCGAGCGCGAGCTCCATCCGCGGGGCGTTGGCGCGGGCACGGCGCCCCCCTTGGGCCGGGACAGGCAGCGCAAGCATGCGGCCAGGGCCCACGCGGAGCCGGATGGTCACTCAACGGCGCCGTGGGGTTGGGACCCTTCAACCCCAACCCACCGTTAGCCCTGGGCTCCCCTGCTGCTCCCCCACCTATCCGGTGTCCCTCAACCCCGACCCACAACCCCGATTAGCCCTGGGCTCCCCCCTGCCCCCCCATCTCTCCACTGCCCCTCAACCCCGACCCACAGCCCCTGTTAGCCCTGGGCTCCCCCACTCGCTCCCCCCCACCTCTCCAGTACCCCTCAACCCCGACCCACAGCCCCTGTTAGCCCTGGGCTCCCCCACTCGCTCCCCCCCACCTCTCCAGTACCCCTCAACCCCGACCCACAGCCCCTGTTAGCCCTGGGCTCCCCCACTCG